GCTCAAGGCAGGTTACGCCCTGAACGGGACACCAGTCCATCGCAGGACACACACAAACACAAACAATCACACCATGGCCAGTTTTATATAGAAGCCAATTAACCTACCAGTATGTCTTTGGTCTGTGGGAGGAAACCAGAGAACCCAGAGGAAACCCAAGCAAACATAACATGTGGAGAACATACAAACTCTATGCAAACAGCACCCCAGCACCCTGAATTCAACCCAGGACCCCAGCGCTGTCCTTGCTGTCCATCTGAGACTCTCCCCTCTTTATTTCCTCTAAACCCTAGCGTAAGACCTTCTTAGATTCAAATAAATGTTCTTCTATTGTAAAGGGATTTGGAAATTTGTGGGCATCATATTGGTGTTAGACACAATTGAAACACAAGCAAACTGGGTTGTATGTATGTGTCTATCTTCGTATACCACTAAAACGATCTTATTTACTGGCATCGGAACATACTTGTTTTCTGAGTCTGCTTGAAAAGCTTTGATCAAATCTAATCACACCTTTGTGCCCTCCCAGTCACAGAAGCGCCGTTTCTCTACCATTTTTGCAATTGTACTTCCCCATTGAAAGATTGTCATTTTCCAAAAGCTATATTTGTTTATTTCGTTACTGTTTTTTTTAGCAAACATAATCTTGGCGGCAGTCTCACAATTCATTACACACCATGACGTGTGAGATGTCCCAGGGGACGAATAAGCACTACAGTACCAGTATCCTGCGATTTATTTAATACAAGACCTCTACAATAAAAAGGACTGTAGTGCACTACGTCTTTGTACAAATCTGTTGCTTTGTATTAAACACTAGTCTTAAATAACAGATGGAATTTGTTTCTTGAGCCTGGAATTTTTTTGGTGATCTGCAGACTGCCCCTGCGACTGAATTTGGTGTGTTAGCTGCATTCTGCTTTAAAAACTGCATTTTAAAAACAGTAAGCTTCACAGAAGCACCAAACCTAGTCTGTGCTACCCCAAAGTATAAGAAGCACTGTACTGGAGCATCTTGTCTTGTGTGTATCACTGGGTACATAGGCTGCTTCTACCACATAAATCCCTTTGTTAAGCTCAGGAGTGGTGGTAGGGAGTCTTCTCTTTCTCTAGCACAGATGAACACATCTCCCTGCTTAAAGGATGCTGCTCTTGTACCATCTCGCAATGCAGGAACTGAACAGTGAGAGAAGTTCCCATTCTGATCCAGGCACTAATCATCTTTATTACAGGAGCGGCATAACAGAGCAGCTAAACAATGAATTACCCAAAGCCGATTTCAAAGCAGAAGTGTAGGTAAGTGTAAAAAGCTTTGTTACACCTTGTACAGCAAGCAGATATCTGCTCTTCTCCATCACATCAAAATGCACCAGCCAGATGTCCTGGGTTTCCCCCTGGAAAATTACACAAAGCACTGTCCTGTCCTGGTGTAGCCTTCACCTGACAAGGCAGCAGGCTTTGCTGGACAGTGCTTGCATCTCTCTCTATAGCCTCACTCCCCAGCTGGATGAATAAAAGGCTTGTGCATGCATTATGCATTAGTACCAGAAGGGGTAGGGTGTCTCTGTGCGCTCAGAGGCTTGCTGCAGCTGTATGAAACACAGCTACAGCCTTCACTGGGCTGTGTGTAAAAGCCTCTGAGCGCTCGCCCTCATAATGCAGTTACTGTTTTGTAGCCACCCTCAGATAACGAAAGGTATGTTCATTCACTATCAGGAGTAAGCTACTGTATGCTGTTGTGCAGTTCTTTTGCAAAAAAAGGATCCTACGTTTATCAGATGCACCTACTGGGGTACTGTCAGAAAATATTACATTATGTTTTTTTTCCAGTGCATGGAAAAAGTGGGCCTCCAAGCCTGTATAGAGAGAGGTGGTGGAGTATTTGCTGCTCAATTTAACATGACACGTAACTAGAAATGAACCTTGCATGCTTATTCAGCATTCGATCATTTGCTGCAGGATGTAAGAGACTATAAGCAACCTTTTATGCAAACAGAATAAAAAAAAAACAAATCTGTGTGCCATCGCTTGACCCTAGAATCAGACTGGATAGCAAACAAAGAGTCCGTGTATCACTGCAGACTGCCTATCCAGAGAATAATGCAGAAATATAGCAGGAACACATTCCTTCCATACTGACAGAATTCTTTACCTACAGTAGGAGAAGACCTTTCAGACTGACATGACTGGAATTAAATAGTTTGCAAGCCAGCAGGTAGCTTTGATCTGAGAAGTCCACCTCCAGAAGTATGCTACTCCAGACAAATGGGTGCGAGATATTCCTTCGAATGTGTCATTCAACCAGCAGCGACACCTAATTCCCAGAAATTAACAACATTCCTCTCTCCACCCTGCATTTTTTTTCTTTGTTTTCCTTCTGACGCAAGTAAGGGCAAACGGTTTCGTTTCTTCATTTTTAGAAATTCGGACAACAGATAGAAACGACTCTAACGCGCCTTCTTTCGTATTTGTGTAGAATTCAAGGCCTCCTTCATTTGATTTTAAAATTACACTGGAGTCGAAACGCTTCGAAATTTTCTGAAATTATGTATACCGACCCCCCACGTGAAGGGTCCACCTGCTGTAATAGCTGAACTCGTAATGAAATGGTGCTGTTTTCTTTTAAAAAAACCTTAGTGAAAACCGAAAAGCTTCCCCTGTGCTACTGTGTGTACCTTTCTGTACAGCCGGCTGCTGCAAGTACTCTCTATCCACCCCACTGCGGGAAACTGAAACATGCGTGGACAGCAAAATTCCCTGTATTGCGAGGGCTGTGAAATATGGCATCTCCAGCATCAGAGAACAGAAGGGCTTTGCATGCGCTTGTATCCCGACGCAGTGATGCACTTTTCCTGTTTGCTCCATTACGGCTCATTCAAAACCTTCTGTACATCTGGACAGTATATCGTTTTCGACAGCCAACCGAGTCGATGGGCACGTCCTAATCGCGCAAATTAATCTCCTGGCTAAGAGATCACAACCATTAAACCCAGTGCAGTTGTATTCCCCAATATCGGAGCCACAGTAAGTGCCTGAATGCAATGATTCTCCATTGCAAATGTCACGTTTACTATGGACTGCACCGCTGGCAGTAAAATGTTCTCCACATAGCGTGAGCAAAGTATCACTGTTCTTGGACTATCGTTCAATATGACAACAAGACCCAAAACCACTTCTAGAATAAGAGTGTAATTCTACTTTTTCTTCTTTTGCAAAGCAACACACACCTGAACGAAGTGTAAAATGTAACCAATGCTAAATAGCGTAAAACGGTTGTCCTTGAGACTGCATTTGATCAATTAAAATTCTGCTAAACGTCCTATTTCTTCGCTAGCTGAATCCTAAATGTTTTTTAAAATATTTTAAAATATTCAGAACAACGGGTTGAATATATAATTATGAGACCATTATATAGTCTGGGTTTCGGATCTCATCTCTCTACTAACGTCTTTTTTTCCATTTGATATTAATTCTAGTAGGATTTTGGAATTGGTGATCTGATCTTCCCCAAAACAAATCACATTGCCCTGTATTAAGATGATTGAATCATGATATGTTAATACCTCTGTAGTCGAAATAACTTTTTTCAAGGAAAAAGGAAACTGGTTGTCTGTTTTCTATGAATTAGTATAATGCTATGCGAAACCTGATTTTAATTCACGCTCCGTTCTCCAGCGCGTCTGGGCTCTAATTAGACCGTCTCCCTTGCACCTGTGACACCGACCTCTCGCTGTCCCGGTGGAGATCGAGTAGCAGTTGAACGAGGTGAATGAAATGTTTTGTTAGGTCCAAAGGACAGCCTGCTTGAACTTTCAAGTTTTGCAGCGCGCTGGATCCCTCAATTCTCAGCACACTTCAAAGGACTGAAAGGTAAAAATGTCCTGCTGATGTTGTTTTGGAAGAATGTGGTAGCAGGCCAGGCACTACAGTCGGTTAAGTATTCTTTTCGTCTATTACGAGCTTTATGCGTTTTCACTGGGTTCTTATATTTAAATAAATCAACACATAAAAATGAAAACGACATTCTTTTGGCTGATTTTAAAAAGCTTTGTATTAAAGCGATGTCTACAAAGGGAAAGCTTTTTATCGCTAAAATCCTCACTTTGATAAGAGTGTTAGGAGTTTGAAGCTACAACATGTTGTGGATAAGCCTATAGATACGCATACATGATTAATGCATCGTGACTTCTCTAATGAACGACATATTTCCGAATAAGGTTTAATCTCTGATGATGAAACGTTTAATGGTGCTTGATATTCTGTGTTTTTAAAGACCCAGGTATTAATAATATGAACCTAAATATATCCCACCATTAGAGACCCGGCTGCCAGAGTATAAATCCCATCTCGTATATCACAGAGTTTCTAACAGAAGTACGGTTGTTGTTGTTGCTGCTGCTGCATTTTTTGTCACCTCTGATCTGGTTGATTTCAAAATTGAATATTGTCATTTCTTATTATTTGTTTTGGCATACATTATGTACCAAAAAATGTCTATTTGTTTTATTTTTGTGGCAATATCGGAAAATACTGTACTTCAGATATAAATACTAGGTCTCGACGTGGTGGGTCTGGGATTTATTGATTACAGCCTTGCCCCAGTGGCGTACAGTATTCGCACAGCATGATACTCCTGTTCACTACTACGGGTGAACCTTTCCTGTACTGTTAGAAAAAAAGCAGCTCTAATTTTTTTAATTATATGTTTCTGTTCTATTAATTTTTAAACCATCTTTGGGGAAAAAAAAGGGTTGGTATTCTTAAACTGGACTTAGACCTGTTTACTCTCAGCCAACTGACCATGCGAAATTAATACAGTAAAACGCGAAAGGAAACGGGCACGAATTGTATTCTGGAGTGTGGTAAGGTTCTTGGTTATTCTTGGTTTTTGGTGAACCTCGTTCACTATATTACAACTTAAGAAACGGAACAGAAAACTGGTCCACTTGGCATGAGCCGTGGATGAGGAACAGTGTATACTAGGACACGGGAAAACTTACCTGCCACGGTGTACCTGTCCATATAATTGAGCACATTTCCAAAACTGAGTATCCCAGCGGCGGCAACGGGAGACCTGCACCGTAGGAGCGCAGCCCGAAATTTCTGTCCCGGTTTGCAGGGATGAAGATCGGGGTTCGATTTCAGACCGGGGCTCATCCTGCCGGACAGCGTGTGCACTTCGTCCGAACTGCTGCAGCCCTCGATCTCGCACCCATCGCTCTCCACACACATCGTCTCCGTCTGTCACGAAATCCAGCCGGCAGCGCGAACGAAGCGAATGCAGCTCACAGCCAACACCGGCAGAAGAAGACACCAAGCCCCACGGGAACCGCAGGGAGGAAAATAAGAAGGACCAAGATACGGCTGTCTTAATATGCTGAAGGGGGGCGGTCGTCCTGGCTCATGTTTGTGTGGACGGCGCGGTACACTGGCATTCCATGAGATCGCTGAGTCTGACCGGCTTTGCTTCGCTGGGGTATGAAGGGAGTGAATCTGAAAGCTTGCAGTGTGTAGATAGACTCCTCCTCTCAAAGCGGGCTTTGAGCCGCATTCAAATGCAGCGTATGCTCTTAATGCAAACTTGTAAACACCTAACACTGACCTTGCACGCTATGAAGATAATGATGATACAAGTGGCTCTTCGTCCGCGGTCCCCCTCTGATACCTTAAAAGTTTATTTTTTTACTTCGTTAATTCTTTTTCCCTGATCATCCTCTTTTGCGGCGGCGAAAGAGCGTAAAATCTACTCGCTCTGAAACAGAACAGGCTCACGCTAATAATGTGCTCTTCGTCGTTTAAACGTACAAGGTAATCCTCATCAAAATCCGAGCCCTCAAAGGAGGGTTCAGAGGAGACGAGACGAGGCAGCACTGAGGGCGCAGAGTACAGTAACAGCTGAATGCAGCTCTACTGTATGAGCGTGGTGGTAGTTCGCTTTCAGCTTCACACACAGACAACGTCCTTTACAGTAACAATATTATGAATCTAGGTATTCGTAAAGGATGATTATTTTTCAAGGTGTGGGTTAATGTTTTGAGTGCTTCAGTACAAGTGCAACGACGTACAGTACGTCTAGATCCTATATAGGCCATATCGGTTCAGCTTTACGCCAGATTGCATTATAGCAGCTATTGTATAATTGGCTTGGTGAGAGGCTTGGAAGCAGAGCAGCTTTCTAAATAAGGGACTTGGAAAGTGCACCGCATGGCGGAGGCAGTAATTAATGCAGTATGCAGTGCGTCCTACTGGATAGCCCTCCCTAAACGCGAGGGTCTGCTATTCCATATGAATTTTACGTCACAGCAGTGCGGCACCGAGCACCTCGGTGGGACTCTAAATCAAGCTCTACAGCAGCGCAGACATCCACACGAGTCACTCTTGTCGCCCGCTGTTTGAGGACAATGCCAAGAAATATTTTTTGTAAAATAAATAATATAGGACCAACAGCGTATGTGCCCAGTGTGTTGATTTCCCTTGGACAATATATTTACATTATCTACCTATTGTTTTAGCACTTAGGCAACATCTGATTACAGAGTTTCACAAACACCCTCCAAAAGCAAACACACAAACCCCTGTAAATATTTCAGCGAGACAATATATGGTGGTCTATGCTTATCTTGCTGTTTCCTGATCTCTCTAAAGCCCGTAGGTGGTCTATAAATAACTGACTTCATAACAATGTGATTTAGGATTACATTGTTTCAGCAAAGAATACACAGCTTTATGGAAATGCTGGGGTCGGTATGCACGGCATAAACTGACGATAAAATAACATAAACAAAATATTGCTGTCTGAAAGAGTTTGCCTCCTGGTAGAAAAGATTATGCAAATACATTGTGTGGACAGTGCAGCCCTCACATTATCACTAAGCAATTAAATGCTTTGGTTACTCCACGAACAATCTGCGGAGACGTCCTGAGGGCGTATTAGTCATTAAAATAAAAATAAAAAAGTTGGAAAGTGTGCGGCGTAAGGCATGTGATTTTAACATGGAAAGACGGGCTTAGTCTTGAGATGGGCTGGGAAAGGGTATTCCTTTGCTTATTTGCAACTGAAAGCTGTAAATCACAATGTGTTAATATCGGCACCGGAAACCCTCTCACTCCAGTTCGGGAACAGTGAGTGAAGAATTCTGAGTTTCGCCTTTTCTCTTTGTAATTTGGATATTTATTTTGAAGGGGCCGAAAGATAATTGCAGACGGTCGTAATGGAATTCCAAGTAAGACAATTCACTACAGTGTGGAAATTCCAGAGTTTTAGAGCGACGGTTGTAATACATTTCAGTCTTTGTAGATAAATATCGCCGCTTGATAAAATAAAACACCCTCTCGTCAGTAATACAGCACATACCCCAGTAACGATAAATAAAACCTCTATTCCAACAACGCCTACAGATAATACATTTCAAGACTATTGAAGATAACTGATGCCTTGGACCTCTGAAGCACCACATACTTTAATATGTGCCGAATGTCATTGAAACGCAGACTGTTTTTTTATAGCTTGGCAGGCACATAGTAACCGCACATTGGGAAAAAAACGACTTGCAGAGCTTGCTAATTAGAACAGTGGGTCAAAGTCAAAGCCTACAAGCGGTGCTTCGTCTCCTGTCTGCTTGTCCCGAAACAAGAGTGAAACGAAGTTTCGAGCAGGGTCTTATGTACATGTGCATTGCGTTGAGGTGGTGTGTGTACACTCGAATGGGGCTCTCTTTAGGGAGATACAGTATCAGTACCCTGGACAGCGCTTGCTTCACCCCCTCAGATTGAACACTGCACAAAGAAGACCTCATGAATTCAAAATAAAAATCGCAGCTAGTCAATGTTAACATGTTTTTGTCCCTTCGACACATTGAAGTGATAAATGCATCTTCACCGGCAAGCACTTAGCTGCACGCATGCACGTTTTAGTTTACGAAAATATGAATATATTTATAACCATAAAGCACAGAAATGAAAACCCGTGAACGCTGCTGTACAATGTAGTTCGTACTCTCACGAACCGCCAACACTGCACACGGTCACCAGTGCCTCTCTTCTTTATTAAATATGAAGTCCATCGAGTAGAGCCAGAACCTTGAAAACATCAGCTATCTAATTTCAGCTGGGTTTAATAAACACGGTGTTTCTTTTGAACTTTTGAGCATGCTTATCTGGTTTTAACATTACAGCAGGCAACCGCTAGCAATAAACATGTTGGAGGTCAGAGTTTAAGAACTTGTAAAAGTCTTTCTTTTCGCGATTAAACACACAACTTGGCCTTTGACTTAGTTGAAGAACACTTAATTGTCTAGTTACTGTAAAGTAAACCTTAAATAAATAAAAGCAGAATACGCGTTGTCACAGTGCAAATCTTTGTAACAAATGTAATGTATACACAATGTTTAGTTAGGCCAGTTTACAGGGTTTATTATTTTGAGTGTTTCTACACAATAATAATAATGAGAAATCTGCTGTAAAGGTAGGAAATCTTCATCGTCTTATTGTTTCTTATCATTCTTCTGAGAAAAGAAAATCACCCTTTATAGAAGTAAGAATAACTCTTTCCCTACAAGAAAGGGAAAAGACTCTTATCTAAAGACCAGAGAAAATAGACAAACAAGTCTTTGTTAAGCTCACTTATTCCTCCCATTCGGGTCTCAGATTCCTTCCTATTCCTAGATTATTTATAATGAGCACATTTGTGAGAACAAATGCATTTGTAATAACACAACCTGTTCCCTTTGTGAAGAGAATTCTATCCAAGACTTTGAGACAGCAGCATTCAAGAGAGGTGTCTGATTTATAACCCACAACACTTCAAGGCAAATCCTCTGGAAGAGATTCACTTGATTTCAAAGCAGAAAGAACTGACTGCCACTGGGTTCTTCTGGCTCAAAGAAAGGTAAAATAAAAAATACAATTTCACCCTCGTCACCCAAGGCCCCTATTATATTACAGGTCAGAGGTCTTAAGATATACTGTAGCTATTGACTAAACTGAGAGTAGTCATTTCTACAGTAATGCACCTTTTTTCCAGGCTTAACATCAACAGAGGGGTTTTGTAAACATGTATCTGTATATCAGAGAGTTATATTCAGAGAAAGCAACTGCTTACAGGTGTAGCATATTAACCTGTTAAATTGTTAGTAGCTCATATTCAAGGTCAAGGTAAAGCAGTGTATCCATGCACGTTTTTTCTGCAAGGGTCTGTTACCCTTAGACCATATATTGATTATTAGAAAGCCTGTTCTAGTAAGGTTTATAGCAGCCCAGAAGGTGTTCTGGAAGCTTAGGGCAGGAGGGACTATACCTCAGTCCATGGATCCAGTGAAGGGTCTACTCGTACACCAGAACAAAATCTGCTGCAAAGCAAAATCTGAGAATTTGTAAGAAATTCAGAAATTACAAAGAGCTTCACATGCAGAAGGGGGCCTACATCATCCAACACTTCAGTTCAATTACACAAAAGCCCCACCACCCTACTACACATCTTGTGGAAAGGCGAGGATATACTCATTTATTTTAATTAAGGGAAAAACACAGGGTGGCCACATTGAGCAAGCCAGCACAGTATAATTTAACCAAGACACCATGACAATAACGCATACTCTTACTCATAGTGCCAAGGAACTTGTAATGACCAATTAGCCAGAAATCAGTTTGTTTCACCAGATGGAAGAGTGCCACCTACTGGTCCACTGACACCATTTATTGCAGCAACTTTGTTTTCCCTAGAGGTCACCCATCCCATTACTAACCTGTCCCAGGCTGGGTTAACATCTGAGAACCTGAGAACATGTCAAGATCAGGCTCCAAGGCTGAGTATACTGCAGGTCTCATTAGATATATTTTTGGAGCCAGTATTATTGTTGTTTTGTCCCTCTCACTGGAAAAACAGCAGGCTATTTTTTCTCTACAGTTTTTCACTTCCCTATTTTACTCATGCTGACCTGGCTCAGCATAAAGAGCTACAGGAAGCCACAGACACCAAAGCCACATGGTTGATTTTGTTCCTCAAACAGCTGTCAGCTTGTCCTTCTCGTTGCCCTTTGCGGTAGGGAACTACTGAAACCGTGTGGGCCTTAGCTTCCAAAGTCATGTACACACAAGCTATAGTAAACCAGAATAATCTGCACAACCTTGAATCCCTTGATTACTGTAATCAAAAACAAAATGGAGGAACCAAGTGTAAAAACACTCGTTCACTGACTTGCTCTCTTCTAGGTTATATGTATATTTATTCGTACAGTATGTCTGCATGGTAAAACTGTACTGGTCTGGCCCCGATACCAGCAAAGAAAATCTGGGCTGTTTTCATGTGTCCTGGTCCTCTGACCTTTCTTTCCAAGGCAGAAATCGGTCCATTTAACAGGCAGATGATTGCAGTTAGCTTGAGCTGCAGACGCCTCTGTCCCGAAGTGATCTCATGCTCCGGCTGTCTCAGCAGGGGGCTCCACTGCTTCTCTTCAATCTTTCATAGAATTGATGATGACCAGTGACTGCAGGTCTCAGGCCCTCCCTCTCCCAAGACCAGGCTGTCAGCACCGGCTGCACTTTGTACTTAATAATCTGTCTCAGAGCGACTGCCTGTAATTCACCCAGGTTTTTTTTTTTGCCGTCAATCTTTGCAGGGTGTACCCTATTCTCTCTAAATTTCTAGACTGGAATTTCAAGAAGCAAACAACCCCAGGGCCCATTGCTTAGCCTCGTAGCTCCTTCTTTGCTAAGTTGTCTCAGAAACCTGATCCATGTGATTATGCATGCTCTGAAGCAGTAAAATACCAAACCTTTTCATGCACCCTTGCATGAAAATAAGCCTGCAATAAGCCTGCTGTCCTTTAGCCTTACTGCACTAAAGAATGTGGGAGAATATGCACACACACACATACAGTATACATACAAATCAAACTGCTGCATGAAGCTGTGGATGTGTTGTCTAAGTATCCTGGAATTGAACACGTGTGCAGTTTGTTTCTGCACCCTTGGTGCAACTGCAGATCCTCAGATCCATCACTGAGCCCATTGTTCAGCACTTACTGTACTTCAGCCCAAGCAGCTTCCAGGGAGTGATTCACACTGTAGAATACTACCAGCATTTAATAAGATCATCTCTCTCTCTGGTGTCTTATTGTGATATACGGCAGTGGAATGGCTGGCTGGTGCTATCCAAGACACAGACTACACCATAGCACATAGCACTGTACTGTGACTTATTCACGTGCATTAAATGTAATCCAATTGCTAGTTTGTTTCAATTATGAACCCTGGGGTGCTTTTCAATTTGAAGAACTGTGGCTGTTTTTTTTTCTTGGTCTGAGACATGTAAACTAGAAGCTTGAATGCTCGTGAAACGTGGGGCTAGATGCTTATATTCTTCAGTTTAGGGATGGCTGATTATATTCCTGGTAAGATATGGTTTTGGTGTATTTTGAAAGACA